ACATGATTCATCTAAAAACTGGATAACAACAGTGTCAATCCTGCATCAGTCAGCAAGTTTGGAAAAGAGAAATTATGCTAAGTATTTCAGCAGGGGGACTTTTTATAGGGAACTGATTCTGCTAGTGGTGGAGGGCTTGAAGGGACAACTCAGAGGCATAGAGGTAACTGGGAATAATGAAGGGGCTGCCAGTCCTGGAGCTGAACACAGAAGGTGTGTGTGTGTGTGTGTGTGTGTGTGTGTGTGTGTGTGTAGTGGTGGTTGTTCTAGACACATGCTCAGAGGAAGAGCTATATGGAGCTGCTGTTATCACGGCTCTGACTTCAGGGGCAAGGGCAGCATCTTTGCAGGATACAGAGACCTCTGAGGAGGGCCAAGAGAGGTTGGTTCTAGGAGTGCTTGAAGGAGTTGGAAGCAGCAGCTGCTGCAGTTCTAGACACATGCTCAGAGGAAGAGCTATATGGAGCTGCTGTTATCACGGCTCTGACTTCAGGGGCAAGGGCAGCATCTTTGCAGGATACAGAGACCTCTGAGGAGGGCCAAGAAAGGTTGGTTCTAGGAGTGCTTGAAGGAGTTGGAAGCAGCAGCTGCTGCAGATAGGGCTCCTCCCCTGGAACACCTACCCGGAAGCAGGCAGAGCCTTTTCCTGTCTACCAGGCTCCTCAGGCACCCTAATGGCAGAAGCAAGGGAAGTTGTCTGGCAAGATAAATAGAAAGGCCTGTGGAGTCAAACCCCAGATTTTCAAGCAGAATAAAGAATGAGCTTGGGGGGCTGGAGAGGTGGCTCAGTGGTTAAGAGCAATGGCTGCTCTTGCAGAGAACCTGGGTTTGATTCCTAGCACCCACAAGGTGGCTAACAACTGTCCGTAACTCCAGTTCCAGAGGATCCAACACCCTCTTTTGATGTCTGCAGGCACTGCAGGACAGGGGTGCACTTACATACCTGCAGGTAATACACTTATGCACATAAAATGAAATAAAATAATAAATAATGTATCAAAAAAGAATGAATTTGGAACTCAGGGACAACAGTACAGGAACACATATTTGTTAAATGGGAAAAAGCCAACTCCATAAATTTATCATTAAGAATTACAGTATTGACATCTGCAGGCACTGTAGGACAGGGGTGCACTTACATACCTGCAGGTAATACACTTATGCACATAAAATGAAATAAAATAATAAATAATGTATCAAAAAAGAATGAATTTGGAACTCAGGGACAACAGTACAGGAACACATATTTGTTAAATGGGAAAAAGCCAACTCCATAAATTTATCATTAAGAATTACAGTATTGTATTAAATCACTTAGTGCAGAGAGTAGCACACAAAAAAACAGTGAATAAATACTAATTACTTATTGCTTGTTGCTTTTACTGTTTTTAATCAAATGATGTATTAAGCTTCTTTAATTTACTACACTAGTGTGAATAAAATTTTAATAATACTACCTTTACTGGGAGTTTCAAACATACTTGGAATTCTGACTCAGGTAATTCCCCAAATCAAGAAATGAACACTACTTTAAGAAAACAGCTTTGTCCTCCCAAATTAGCCATTCATTGGGCCAGAAAATGGACTCCTCAACACCAGTGAGGCCACTGCTAATTTATGCATACATTAAAGCATCAGTTGCCGATTTCCTAATTAGCGATTTTTAGACTCTTCCAGTGTCAAGCAATTTATCTTTATTGTGTTTCAAGACAGAGTGAACGGAAAGGGGCATCTGGCCGCCACCTGCTCCTTTTCTCTCTCTGGAAGATGGTCCCTTACCACCAATCAGCATGGTGCAGATGGAGAAGATCTTCTCAGCATCAGTGTTCGCAGACACATTACCAAACCCAACGCTGGTGAGGCTGCTGAGGGTGAAGTAGAGGGCGGCAATATACGCACTTCGGATGGACGGGCCCCCCATCGTATTGTTGTAGTATGGAGACTCCAGTCTCTTTCCCAACTCATGAAGCCAACCTGCAGTGGAGGAAGGAGGCCAGGGTTAGGACTGAGAGCAGAGTCTTAGTGTTCACACCTGTGGCTAATGACAGACTGTGATTGCTTAAAGGGAAAAGAGTTCAAAGGAAATTAAAGGCACGTTATATTGCATTGCTATAACACAAAAGTATCACTTTTGTGCATGCTGTTCGCTACAGTACAAAGACACAAATTCACTGTAGCCACCAACTAACCACAGAAATTGAAACAGAGGGCTGCTCCTAGTAACAGTTGAGTGGCACCTTCTGCCACCCCCATAAAGCTCATTTCAACTGATGTTTTAAAAGAAACATAGGATGGAGTGGTATTGTCTGTGTTCCTCCGTCCCTCCCTCCCTCCCTCTGTCCCTCCCTCTGTCCCTCCCTCCCTCCTTCCATCCCTCCCTTCCTTTCTCTCTCTTCTCCTTCCCTTCCTTCCTTCCTTCCTTCCTTCCTTCCTTCCTTCCTTCTTTGTGTCTGTCTTTCTGTCATTCCCTCATGGTTGTTACTCTCTTCTTCCTTATTTCTTAGTTTTAGTTCTGGGGATGGCTTGCCTATGTCAGGCAATCACTCCACCACTAGTTACATCCCAGCCCTGAGCATATATTTTAATCCTTATGTGATACAAGCAGTGAGTATAAGAGTTTAGACTTTAGACAGACAGAGGGGCTTTATTTCCATTCTGTAAAACCAGTCTGATACTTAGTTGTCGCCGAAGTCCCACATCACGTACCTCTGCCCGTGCTGCCTTACTCTGTAAGCCTCTGCAGCCTCATTCTGTATTTAGGGCTGGATGAAGAGAAAACTGTACATTCAAGAGGTACTGGAACAGAGCTAGATGTCTTCCACAGCAGTTTTATGGTACCAGTGTACATATACATTCAATTTTATCAAAGTAAAGGTTTTAAATATGTCTGGTTTATTATAACTCAGTTGAACTGTCATAAATTTATGAAATGCTATATTAACAGAAATGAGAGAGAGCAGCACATGTAGTAACAATAATGGCACCATTTAGACTGGAAACCACAAAGACCACTTTAAAGTTCTGTATTGGAAACATCTGCCATTTAAGATTTTCTAGTCTATAATTACAACATTTTATAAATCTCTTTGTAATATATACGTAAGTTTTGTATGATTTGGGGACACTATTCACAGACTACCACTTTCTTATAAGTGCTTTCATTTAATGGATACCCAGAAAAAGATGGAAAACCATTACATTTTTAAAGCAGTAATAACACTTTAAAGTTATAGGTTGTAGAACTGGGCTAGGTAATTAAAATGCAAATTTGAAGTGTCTGATGATTTCCTGACAGGGAGAACAGCTTAGTGGAGAGTACTATTCCTCACATATCCCCTGTCACTAGCAAACCTTCGCTGTCATCATAGGTATCAAGAGGGCCTAGTGAGCATCAATCTCCCCTCCTACTCCAACTTAGCTTCCCCCCCACGCCCCCAACACAGGACAGCTAGGGAGGATGGGGGAAGGGCCGGGGGTTCTCAAGGCTGCAGCTGGGGAAGCTTGGTGGAAACACACCACCAACCCCAGTGCCGCCTGCATTACCTGAATCTGAGTAGCCATGGGTGCGCTTTAAAAGTTCCCTGGCAGAATCTAATGTGGAGTAGGGCTCAGAACCACTGTCTTCTAAATCTTCGAAGAGCCCTTGACAATAGCAGGTCAGGATTGCATAAATGTTGATTGACAGAGTGACCGCATTAATAAATGTGTAACCGGTACTTGGTTTTATGATAATCTGAGATCTGACAATGACATTACTGTGGATGTAGTGACCTGTGGGCACCTGGAAGTCTGTGTTAGATTTCTATACAAAGTGTGATAAAAGTATTTTTAATGATAGAAAAACAGCCAGGTGTTAGTTTTTTCTTATAAAAAGTGATGCCCTTATTAAGTTATGGCTACTTACCTTATCTAGACAAACCTCACAAAAGGAAAGAATGTTAGACTAAAACACAGATCTAAATCTAGACTCTGGTGCTTACAGGCTGCAGAAATAACTAACCTGGTTGAGTTCTTTCTTTTTAAAATAGAGGTTCGGTCTGATCTGGGGATTGCAGTGACATTAAATGGTGCCGCATGAAGAGAATATCCAGCAAGCACCGTTACTCGCAGAGGCTTCAACTACAGTGTCTCGTTTTTCTCTCTTCCATTCAGGCAGGACAGGAAGACAGGGAATTATGACAGGAAAAGGGAGAGGAGGCCTCCTCCCGGATCTGGGTGAAGCCTCCTTTTAGCTGAGAAGCAGGCATTCCAGTGAAATTCCCAGCCGCTAAGGCCTCTCTCCCCTCCCAGCTGTAAGGCTGCAGTAGGCCAGGAATCCCACTAGAAACCCCATTTTCAAGAAAGGACATGGGCTAGATGTCTTGTGCAACCCTAGCAACTTCTGGTTTTACCTTCTTAGGTTGTAACTCCATCCAATCAGAAGCCGCCTGCCATCTGTCTCATCAGAAGAGAGAGAGGAGTGAGTGACAAGGGTTTCCTAACAACCTTGTGAGCTGTAACTTAAGAGCCAGCAAACGTGGCCCGTCTGACTAATGTTAACACAACTCATTGTGGTTCTCCCTTGAGAAGCCCACACCGAAACTTGGATACGTTTTACTTTCTGCGACTCTCGCTTGAGGAAGCCCACTCCTGCTCTCTTGGGAGTATCTTATTTCTTTCCCCGGCCACCTCCGTCTCTCAGCCCTTATGCTTAAGCCTATATTAAAATGATCCTTAATAAAACCTCCAACTCTGCTTCAAAGTAACTAGGACTGAAATTTCTTCTGAGTCAAAGCTGTCTCAGCCTCCCAGTCTGGCCTGAGTAGAGGTTCCTGAAAGATGGTCTCACTGCTGACACTGACACTTAAATTGAAACACAGAAGGCATAAAATGTCAGCAAAGTAGCAGCCATGAGAAGCCATGAACTGGCAGGGAAAGAAAGGGTGGTCAGAACATTCAGAGGCAGGTCCCAGACGTGGCATTTCCTGAAGAAAAGATGAAGAAAATCCAAGGAGTAACCATTCTGAAATTTGGCAAGTTATACACCCATAGTGTATCTGAGTAAAACCCCGATCCTTTTCTCGGAGACACGTACATGATTTTATTTTATCACATTTTTCTGTGGCTTTCTCGGCACTTTCATACTTGTCTGGTCCAAGACCCCACATTAAAATTTCTGCTCTAGAATTTTAAGTGGGTGAAAGGAAGAAGAGGTGATGAGGCGTGATTTGGTAAAACCGAGTTTACTGTCTTGTGAAACAAGGCTTAGAAATCAAGGCAACTTATCCAACAGTAAGAACACAAAAGCAGAATCAGTGTGTATGCATGTCCCCCTCTGGCTGAGGAGCGATTGGCTGTCAGTGTTCTCCAGGAGTGTGGGCCATGGCAGGTGGCGCAGGCACCACTGGATGCCCCCACACCCATGTACATGTAGGCAGTGTTAACTGATCTTGTGTGTTATTAAAAAAAAAGACTCGAAGTTGGGAGGGATGTGGTGATGTGGTGGGGCCTAGGAGGGGATGGAAGGGGGGACAAGGGAGTGGGTATGTTCAAAATGCATTGTATACGTATATGAAATTCTCAAAGAATAAATAAAAACATTTAAGGAAGACATGAAGTCACATCTGTTGAAAGCGGGCATGACTCTAACACTAACGGTGGAGTTCCATTCAAATTAACACCTAGACAACAACAAAGAGTGTTACACTCGAGGTGCACTGTGGGAAGAGTCAAGATGCAGCAGGAAGTCGGGAGCATAACTGCATCTTTGTTTAGTGTCACATTTAGGGTGGCGCTTTCTGCAGAGCAGTGCTCTGTGGGCTGAGGGGTGCTGAGTAGCCGCGCAGCTCCTTGTCAGGGGTGCTCCGAGCCCTGCTCACTGCCTCCTTTTCGTTTGACCAAGAAGTGATCCCAGAACCCCAGCCCTTTGCGGCATGTTTGGTCCTTCCTGCTAATTATGGAGAAGTCAGAAAAATGTCACTTTGTCCAGGGAATAAATGTGGCATGATTTTTTTTTTAAGTTGATGCAAAAGGGGAAACATTTCCAGTAATAAAACTGTCCTGTTTTCTCTACTCGTTTGGCTAGGAAGTCAGATCATGAATCTACCACTGGAACCATGTAGTGAATCTCAGGTGAATTAAAATTATTTACTCACAGAATTCAGTTTTCTCAATAAAAATAAAAGTAGAGCAGGTGTGATGGTGCAAGCCTTTAATCCCAGCACTCCAGAGGTTGACGCAGGTAGATCTCTATGAGTTCAAGACCAGACTGGTTTATGTAGCAAGTTCCAGGCTAACCAGGACTGTATAGTGAGACACTGTGTCAAAAAACCGAAACAAGGGGCTGGAGATATGGCTCAGCAGTTAAGAACACTGTTCTTGCAGAAGACCTGGGTTCAAATCCCAGTACCTACATGGCAGCCAACAACTGTCCGTAACTCCAGTTCCAGGGGATCCAATTGCCTTTTCTGACCTCCACAGCATTGCACGACCACGGGTGCACTTACTTACATGCGGGCAATACATGCATACACATAAAATGAAAATAATAAATAAAATATTTTTAAAAACCCAAACAAACCCCCCCAAAACAGATCAATAAAAGTAGACAAAACCAGCCAATATCTTTGCTTAAATGCCTTGGAGTTCTTATCACATTTAATCCCTTAATAAAATGGGATGAAAGTTTACATTAGGACACAGACTGTTTTCGGTCTGTGCTATGCACTTACATGTGTGTGAGATTATGTTTGAGAAGTGGTTCAGGAGCAGCCCACAGATGAAGCACAGACCTACTTTTGTTGACACTATCTCTTTTCTCTCTAGTCAACTGTTCTATTTTGAGAAGCACCCTGTTTTGTAAAAAGTTTGCTGTTGAACTGTGTTTCAGCTGACAGAGCAGAAGCAATAATGATAAGGAAAAAAACTGGTTAACTGGGAAGCAAGGTAACACCCACAGATCCAGGGATTGGCTATGTAGGCTAAATAAAACTTGT